CGCCGCTGCCAACGCAGCGGCGCGAAAAGTCCTTCCCCGGCCCTGCAGGTCGCGCGGGGCTGGAGTCTTCACAGCGGTGGGGCCCGCGCTGCGATTTTGACTCGCGCGTGATCTCCTCGTCGTTGACGGTCGTCGGACCCTGGGCGTCGGCCGTGGCGAGTCTCACGGCGCTTTGTTACCGTTCCGGCGGGTTGGCATAGAGAAGTCCTTACCCGCGGCGCGCAGTTAGAGCCGCACAGTAGGATACATGCAGCATGCTCATACATACGGAGTACTGCGCCTTAACTTTGTCGGGGTTTATTTTCGAAGTTAGGGGCTAAACAAAGTTGTGTGGGTATTTCAGTTTTTGACGTGTTGTTATTGTCAAGCAGGCCAAGGCGTTGAAACACTGTCCACAAGTGGACAAATCCCTATGGAAGATGTTTACATAATCCAATGTAACGCTTAACGCCACACAACTTGTCGGCCATCTCTGAGGCTGAAAAGCCTTTCTGCATCACACTCGCTCCCACTCGCCGGCAGCTGTGTGTGCAACGAAGATTATGGAAGAAAAGTGCGAAATCATTTCCCCAAGACATCAGTCGGCAGCGAAATGTGCACGCCAGTTGTTTTCTCGCCTACAGCTTCCCGCGTGGTGTGCGCTTCTCGGAGGTATATTTGAAGATCCGGCTTACTGATAGGCGTAATGACGGTAACTGTCTTCTAGGAGTCATTGTTTTGCGGAAAACAAGTGCGGCGCAACAACAGCTCGGGCGGCAAGAGGAGCAGAGATTGGGGGAGCGCGCCGCGGGGGTTTCCCTGGTCGGCGGCTGCAGCGCCAAGGTCGAAGCCCTCCCTGCTCCTATCAGCGCACCACCCGGGCGCGGCATGTCTGAGCCTGCACCGCGGCGTGCACCGTCATACCAAGAGACTATACAGGGTCATACCACAACACGTCCTCCGTGAGGTGTTTACACCTTAGTCCCCCGCCCTATTCCGCTCGTCACTCCAGAGAAGGGATTTTAATTTTCCAGGAAAGTATTTTTGGCAAAGGTTTCAAGGTTTTTGTCAAGTGTCTGAATTATTTCCTTAAAAGTTTTATCTTTCAAATCTTCTGGAAAGATTACGTTTTTTTCATTTTTTATGGATTTTTTTTTATTTTTCCGGGAAAATTTCAGACTGTCAAACCCACATTCTCCGGATCTATTTTGTTTCAAAGCGACAAGCGCGGCCGGAGCCGGTCCAGCCAGCCTCCTGCGCACTCTGTCACTCGATCGGTACGCGAACTCCCTTGGCGTCCGCAACCTGATGCAACTATTGGCAATCCTGGCGCAATTCATATCGCTGCTCGGAAAAGACTCTCCGTGTGTGGTGCGCGGTGATGGCGTCTCGCTCACCCCTCCTGGCCCGTGTCACGAACCTGCAATGCCGTGCCAGGAAATGTTGCGTCTGTATTTTTTTGCCACCACCCCGCAAATAACCTTCGGCAGGGCAGTGCAGGGTGCTGCGACGAGTCGTCGTCCCCCGCGATGTGCGACGCGCGGCCAAACTCACAGGGATGATGCTCCTTCCCGGTTACGACAGTAACTTACCGTAATTTTCACTTGGTGCGGAACAGCTTGATCGCGTTTCCGCAGGGAATTTTGACTGAAACATTAGACATATCTTTTTGTATACTCCCACTGTGTCCTTTTCCCATTTCCCCCTTTTGCATAAGCGCTTCGCAGTTCTCGTGCACCGGCGATAATGAGCTGTTTCCCTGACAACCGCGCTGCAGGGAAAAACGGCCCGCGATACTACTTGTTATCTCCGATCAACGGGGGAGGCGGGCGTCGCCGTCGCGCGCAAGGCGCGGAGGGCGCAAAGGGGGGCGGAAGGGTTGGGCGCGCCGCGCCAGCCGCGCACTGGTGGCATTTGGGCTGCCTACCTCCCAGGCGCGAGGCCCCACGGCCCCACCCTGCAGACCAGCTCGGCAGGCGGGCGCAGTGCGTGTAGGGTGTGCCAGTTGGCGCCCTTCGAATGCTTCTAGAGGATACATTAGACGCACAATCAGGCCCGGCCAGTGGCCAGTCGAGTCAGAGTGATGCGATCACCCAGTCTTTGGGCAGCGTCACCTTCACGTCTCGTCCCACCCGACATGACCTCGCGTCTCGCGTATTTGTTAGAATGTCTGTGTGACTCAGGCCGTTGTTAGCCCTCAATTCTCCCCCCGCCTCCTCAGCGCGATGCGAAGACTCGCAAGTTGACTGTCATCGTCATCATTGCCGTGCTCTTGCACCTATCCTATGTAAAACGTTTTGGACACCGCCTGTATACAACACCTCACGCACAACTTTTTCCAGACGAGCATCGACGCTCGCTCGCTACAGGGCTTTGCAACACACTATCTCGCTCTCACTCGCGCTCTCTCTCCTGCCCCTGCCGGCGGCTATTTCGGTGTCGGCGGCACAAGGAGCAGGCGGGTCATCGCGGTAGGCGCCGTAGGAGAAAGAGTGTTGTTAGGCGATCTAGAGCTAACCGGTTACACGTTAAAAGTGCAGAGCGCAGGGCGCAGGGCGCGAGGCGCGAGGGGCGGCCGCCACGGCCGGCGGCGGGGCCTGTTGCTGCCCGCGGCCGGGGCCAGAGGAGCCAGAGGGGCCAGAGCGTGCTGGTGGTGGCAGGAAGTTGCGGGGCGGGGCAGGGCGGGGCGGCGTTACGCCCGCGACTAGCGAAGTGGGGCTCTTATGGGAAGCGAGAGGGTTGCGGGGCGGGGGCGCGCGGTGTCTGCGGGCGCGTCCAGCGCCTCTGACCAAGCCGGGCCAGTGCACCAGGGGCAGGGCCTCGGGCGAGGCGCGCGGAGAACACATACGCCGCGCTGGCCATCGTAGAGCCGCGCACCGCCCAGCGCGCCGTGCTCACAGCACCAGGGCGGCTCTGTCGGGGAGCCCAGAGAGCTGGACGAGGGCCTGGATGTCCTCAACGGGGGCCCCCCACACCGCCACGGGGCGAGCCGCCATCGCCGCGTCACACCCAGTGCGGCCACGCAGCAGCAGCAGCAGCCACAAGGCCCTCTGGCCGGCAGCCAGAACACCGGTCACCGAGCGCCATTTGAATGAATCCGCAACTTAATCTGGACTGGCAGGAGCCACCGATGAAGTTTACCGACTGCATTTCCTGTGCTTTCCCCGCTGGTAATTGGCCGACCCCTCCTTCGCGACTCTAATGCGCACGCGCGTTGGACGAGAGCGCGAGGAGCGAGAGGGAGCGAGAGGGAGCGAGAGCACGTGTGCGAGTAAGAGTGAACACCGTCTACCACCGCTCCACGGCCGCGCCCGTGCACGCCTAGAAGCGCGGCGGGCGACACGACCGTATTCGCGATAACTCACCGGCCTGCGAGAGTTGCCGCTGAAAGCTTTCCCCCTAATTTACATAACAACATTTTGGCATATTCCCGCGCGCTTGCAGAGTGCCGCCACAAATATCGCGAAAACCTGTCAAACAGCCCGTTTCCGGCCCGCGAGGCACGCGCGCGCGCGGCGCCAGATTCAGATTCGCCCGCGGCGGACCGGACGTTCGCGGGCAGGGGGGAAGGCTGGGAGGGAAGGCTAGCTACCCTCCTCTTTTGCTCTCCTCTCGGCTCTCCCTGCGCGGCGCAGCGCCTTCCGAGGAGGTCTATTTTCAGAGCGGCAGCCGCCCGCAGCAGCCCAGCCCTGGGCAGGACCGCCTGCCCCTCGTGTGGCGGGGCGTGGCGGTGGCGGAGAGTTGCGGGGCGATCGCAACAGCCTCAGAGGAGGACGCGAAAGTGTGGCGGAATGTGACGCTAAATCACTGAAAGCGAATGGAGACACGGAGGTCCTCGCAACAAACACGGCGCTGGATGAAGCCCGCGCGCGACTTTGAAGGTCCTGCTGGAGTGCTGCCTAGTGTCGCCTCCTGGTAAGAGAGCCCTCCCCACCCCTCCCCAATCCCCGCCGCTGGAGAAACCGAGCAAGCCATGGCCGGGTGGAACAAGCTGACGGTGGACTCGGCCGTCATCCACAGCCTCCCAGGAGGACCGCTTCTCTCGTCGTCATCGTCGAGCTCGTCCGGGCGGAGGCGGCGCGCGGTGAGTGTGACCATTTACTCTCCTCTTCTTGATTCCTTTCTTTCGCCCCTCTTCTCCTTCTTAACCACGACACCAACTTTTCACCTGCACCCCGAAACTTTTCTATGCTGCTTGGAATTC